CTCAGCTTCCAGCTCCACAGATTGCTCCGCGTACTAAAGTTGTACTAGCAAATCGCCGGTTCTCACCTTCCAGCTCCCAAAATCGCACTCTCGCCTGCATTTTGCGCACCCGACACCCACGATCTCCGCAGAGGGTTGCGCGCGCACCGGACAGATCGCACTCTCGTCTGCATTTCGCGCACTCGACACGCACGATCTCCGCAAAGGGTTACGCGCGCACCGGACAAATCGCACGTTGCGTGCGCACCGGACAAATAATCGCACTCTCGCCTGCATTTCGCGTACTCGACATGCAGAGGGTTGCGCGCGCACCGGACAACTCGCACTCTCGCCTGCATTTCGCGCACTCGACACGCACGATCTCCGCAGAGGCCCCGGGCACCGGACAAATCGCTCTCTCGCCTGCATTTCGCGCACTCGACACGCACGATCTCCGCAGAGGGTTGTCCGCGCACCGGACGAATCGCACTCTCGCCTGCATTTCGCGCACTCGACACGCACGATCTCCGCAGAGGGTTGTCCGGGCACCGGACAAATCGCACTCTCGCCTGCATTTCGCGCACTCGACGCGCACGATCTCCGCAGAAGGTTGCGCGCACACCGGACACATCGCACTCGCCTGCATTTCGCGCACTCGGCACGCACGATCTCCGCAAAGGGTTGCATTTTCGGTTGACGCTGTTCGTCCCACCCTCCGCCTTTAAAAGAGAATATATAAGGTGGGGAAATGTTTATCAGGACATCTCCCGTGAAAGTTTTCCATACTCACACTTGCATACTTGTACATGGGATTGCACTGGGATACTTACACTTGTTACACTTGCATTACACTTGCATACTTTTGCACTTGGATACTTACACTCGCATACTTGCCCTTGGATGCTTTCACTCGTACACTTACACTGGGATACGTATAGAAGTGTAAGTGTTCAAGTGTAAGTGTGGAAGCGTAAGTGTTCAAGTGTAAGTGTAGAAATGTCAGTGTTCAAGCGCAAGTGTGGAAGTGTCAGTGTGTAAGTGTAAGTGTAGAAGTGTCAGTGTTCAAGAGATTTTCCGGAAGAACCCTTCGCAATGCTTTCGGGAAAACATTTTTAAAAAAACATAAATGAAAACATATTGAAAACCTAAAAAATCATCAAAAAGTCATATCAAAAACATTAAAAAACATAAAAACAAGAAAAAAGCTCGGAAGCAGGCACATTTTGATATTTTTATGATTTTTTAATCTTTTCAATATGTTTCCGTTTGTGATTTTTCCCCAAACAGGTTTACCTGTGAGGGGTTCTTACTCCTTTTAAAGGGGTGCGTGCTCGGGCCGGATGATTTTGAGTTTGTCTCTGGGCTTGTGTTCCTGGCCGCATGATTTCACCCTTGTCTCCCACTTGTCTCCCAGTAAGCTCTGGATGCTCTCAGTGCTCTGGCCGCGTGATTTCAGGCTTGTCTCCCACTTGTCTCCCAGTAAGCTCTCGATGCTCTCAGTGCTCTGGCCGCGTGATTTCAGGCTTGTCTCCCACTTGTCTTCCAGTAATGGGTGCTCTAAGTGCTCTGGCCGCATGATTTCACACTTGTCTCCCACATGTCTCGACTTGGCTCCCAGTAATTAAGCTCACTTGTCTTCCACTTGTTTCCCATGGCCTGTCTGGATGCTTTGTATCCCCGGGCTTGGCTGGATGCTGGGCCGGGTCGTTGCTCTGTTGTATTTCTGGTGTTTCGAGTAAAGCTGCATTGGCTGCATCGAAATACACTATTTTCAGATATTTTCACCACAAGCGTTGCATTGCTCGATTTGCTGTTTAGGTTGGCAGCTACTTTCGTGCGGATGATCAACGAAGCAATCACACACTCTTACGTCAAGTGTTGCGACCTATGGCAAACACAGGTCAATGCAGTACATGGCTAAGCCAAAGAAGGCAACTGCGTAGGAAGGAAAAAGCCAAGCGCAGTGTCCGTGCTCTGAGGAAATCTTCATTTTGATTGGGTCTGCGCATTCGTGTTTACAAGGGGGGCAACATATGTCACAACCTGCATCCATAAATTTCATGTTTTAGCCCTTGTACGGCGTCCCATTGTAAAGTCAATGAAAAACAGAACTTTAATGCTTTCCCTTTGAATCTTGTATGTGCGTCTACATGGTGGACTATAGTTTTCTTCCTCTAGGAAATACTGCTGGCCATATTGTTCGGAGATCTCATTTTTGAACATTGCTCTGTTTGGGGTCTACGCTGGCATAATTTTTTATGTTTTTTTATGATTCCGCGCGGCTCGTCTCCGCAGGTGTGGGTAGGACGCGGCGCGGTGGCTGGGAAGGTAGCGGCGAGGTCTGTAGGTTGCGCAGTGGCCCCTCGAGAGCTGCTGCGTCGAAAGTGTAGAGGCAGGTGGGAGGTCACCTAGAGCTGGCCAGGGCAGCAGACGCCAAGTCTGCCTGGCCTGTGGCCGGCCCTGTGACGCTGAGGAAGGGGCCTTTCATGTTATGAATTTTGCCATGTGTGCACGCGCGGCAGAGAGAAGCTTAGTCGTGTTCCTGGTCATGGTCAGTGCCTTGTTTGTTGGTTTGAGTGCCTGCCTTCTGGTTTTACTGGCAGCGGTCATTTCTACGTCTAGGCAGAAGTCTGGTTTTTTACGACGCAGTCAAAAGTGACTTGGTTTGCGTTGCTAGAGCCTAAAGCCCGAGCCTTGCCTCAAGCTTTACCGGTCGCAAACCAATTTTTTCGACACAAGAACAATAGGACAGAAACAGAAACCCTGAAGAGGCAATGACATTCAAGCATCAGGGAAATTTGATCAAAAACAGTGTACTTTATAAGAAACACAATGAAAACATAAATGACGACATAAAAACATATAAAAATCATAAATAAAACATAAAACAGAACTACCAAAAAATCCAAAGATAAATTGAATCATATTTAAAACATAAAAAATCATATAACACATAAATTACTTAAACGGCCTTGTGGCTAAAATTTTAACTCACAACACTATCAAGCACGACTATTGTGTGTGTAGCGTGCTGAAACATGCTGAAGCAATGGTCGGTTGCGAGCCTGACGTTGAGCTTAGAACAGTATACGTACAAAAGTATGCGCGCAAACAGTACAGCCCTTGACACAGCTGTCGGCCAAAACAGAGCCCGAAGAGTGTAAATACCCCACAGAGCTAATAGACAAAGAATGCTCAAGCGACAACACCGCATGATGTTGCATGCATAAGTTCATGCGGCGCATGACTGCTGGCACTTCAGAAGCGGCGGTTGGTCGCCCTTCACTGCTACAAGCGGCAGTTTGTCACCCTTCACTGTCACTTCACTGTCAGAAGCTGGCACCAGCACGAGCACCGGCACGCCAGCTCACGGCACAGAGCACCAGCAACCAGCGCCCAGCACCAGCACCCGGCACCCAGCACCTGGTACCCTGTCTCCACCACGTGCACAGCCAGCTCGCTCGATGCACCCAGCGAGACAGTCTAACCCAGTACATACATATCTTGCTAAGTTGTCGACATGTTAGTGCCAAAGTTGAAACGCTCTAAACCTGCCAAACAACACAATATTCGTCCCAAAGCATTCGGCCCTCCCGATGCCAAACACACTTTAACCTCGCTAAAGCGACGCCGTGGATCGAGCGACGTTGGCCTGGAGATCGGCCTCATAAAGCTCTGAGAGCATCTGAATGGCCCATTGCCTGACCAAAGGCGATGGCTGGAAGTGGAACTTGCTGCGCACGAAGTTGAACGTCAGCCTCCATACCCTTTCGGTTCTAGGATGAACAAACCCCAAAAAATTACCTATTAAATTTCAAAGTTCCAATGAGGAAATTGTATGGGGTCATTACATATCATTACTGTATATTTGTTCAACTGATCAGACGGCCATACTGATGGATTTGTTGCGTCTTTTTTACACTAGAAACGAGACACAGTGTATAGTTAGTCTTTTCACTACTGCCCGCATTGTGATGAAGACGAGCCTGTGGCGGTTCACTATTAGCATTATGAGCACTTCAAGGTCCACCCCAACCAGCCAGTTCTTCGTTGGCCCCGTTAACCTCGTGTGCATTTCTAGGATGATACGATGCACAAAAACATGTAAGCAAACACGTATGATCGAGGAATCCAGGGTCAACATTCTTCGTCGCCCTTTGTCAAGCCTATTTCAATAATGCACCGTAGGCAACCTTGCTCTGGTGAGCAACAAAACTCGTTCACAACCTGGGGATGCCACAATGTCCCAGCAGTGTCCCAAGGACGGAGAAAATGATGGACTTCTGGCCACATGGTTTCGGAATGGGCGCCATCTGGCCGTGGTGTACATGAAAGTCACCAGAATGTCATTTTGGAAACACCAGGCCATCCACTGTCGACTTTGGTTCCACCGAAGTCACCATTGATCCGACTTCTCGCAGGTACTCATCACCGCTCCGAAGGACACCGCTGAAGGCGATGAGAAGGTTCGGTGGAGTGAGGAGAAGGTGTCCATGGCGATGGGCCAGTTTTCGGTTTTCTCATAGCAGGAGATCACGGTGTTGCAAAGGACCTCAGTTCTATATGATTTGAAGTATGCGTTGGATGAGAGTGACTTTTTAGCAGGGTTGGGTGGTATTCAATGGTCGTTGCTTGAGGGACATGTGGGTTGGATAGTTGATAGTGGGAAACAGCGGACGCTTGCTAGATTTTGAAAAATTTGCTGTACAGCCCTCAAACCGCTTCCAAACGCACCACTGAATCAGCTCTCTAGCAGCTGCTAGTACCTTCTACATGTCTTAGTTCTTGATGTCTATGCTTGGTCAAGATTGGTGCATGCACTGTTGAATCACATGGAAAGAACCATAGTAGTTAGTCAAAAAACAAATATGTAAACAAACATTGTCCTTGGTTCAACGCCACAACCCCAAACCGGCCCTGTTTGCAAACACACTTCCTATCCCACTGCAGTATGCAGCTCAGCTCTCTTTTGACGGTTCTGCCTAAGAACAAACTCAACATTCCCCTTCCACCTCGCCTGCGAACCAGGGTTGATTGATTTTTTAAGAACCCACAGTTCAGGGTCCCGGGTACACAGGGGCAACTAAAAAAGCAAACACGCTGAAAGACAAACCCCTCAAGAATCAATGAAAAACATGCTTTTTGCTCAAGAATCGTAACTTGCCTTCAAAAACTCCACAATAGCCAGTGTACTCGGGTTCGAGTCGAACTCATGGCTGGTATGGTCTAATGGCTATGACGTCGGACGTGGGTTCAATGCCCGGGCGCAATACTAGGCGAACCACTACTCAACCGCTGTAGTTAAGGATGAGCTAGGGCGTGGACCGTTCAAGACAACAACAAGGTTCGAGCCGAACTTGATCTGCCCAAAACCACCTGAGTGTTATGCTTGTAATCTCCGCAGATCCACTAAAGAATCAAAACCATACCCCCCAATGTCTCAACTTCAACATCGGCAAAAGGGAAAATCTTCCAGCTCCCAAGATTTTCCAGCAAAGCCAGTGGGAAACCCTTTCCTATTTGGAGCTAATCCTGATTCTTTAGAGTCTTCAGGATGGTGCTTTCTGGATGGCTTCTGATCTTTTCGAATTGATTTGTATTGAAATATGTGCTGCATTGTGTTGGTTTCTAGTGGCCTGTGATGATTTTCATTGGTGTTTGATGGTGCTGGAAAATCTAGTCGGTGATATCTCAATATGAATATATAGTAAAAATTTACCCAAACAGTTTACGGTTAGGGGTTCTCAATGCTTTCTTAAGATGTGTCCGCCCTTTGTGTCACTGCTGGTGTCCGCCCTTTTCCGCTCGCCATGTAGCATTTCTATTCGTTTGTCTCCCAGGTCTGTCAGCATTTCTATTCATTTGTCTCCCAGGTCTGTCGCTGCTGGTGCCCGCCCCTTTCCACTGGCCATGTAGCATTTCTATTCATTTGTCTCCCAGGTCTGTCGCTGCTGGTGTCCGCCCTTTTCCGCTGGCCATGTAGCATTTCTATTCATGTGTCTCCCAGGTCCGTTGCTGCTGGTGTCCGCTGGCCATGCACTGCTGGTGTCCGCCCTTTTCCGCTGGCCATGTAGCATTTCTATTCATTT